AATGACCGCTCACTGCGGTTGGACCGAATCACTGTCAGGACAAACAGCAGAGGGAGGGGCTCCCAGTACCTTCAGCAAGGTATTCATCTCAGAGTACTTTCTCAGAGTACTTTTCTCAGAGTACTCATCCCAGAGTACTCTCACTTTTACACCTGTTCAATAAAGCTTGTTATCTTTGAATCTCTAGTACTTACACCGTATGCTGTTGACAAAAAATAATTATTCCATGATCACATTAAAACATTACAGAAAAACATTTGTTATTCCATGATTCCGTTCAGCACTCCTCGTTCACTCCACACTCACATCACACTCACAACACAGGCCGACTCCCCACGTTAGTATTTTGGTCCAGAGTTTGTTAAGGTCATCGTAGTGTACTTGACATTGACGCACAAACATATAACACACACAAACATATAACATACACAAACATATAACACACACAAACATATAACATACACAAACATATAACATACACAAGAGGCCTGTAATTTTAACTTTGTTATATTTTTCCATGTCCAATTACAATTGTCTCATGAGCTATTTTATTGTTGCAACTTTCAGAGCCTGCAGAACATGCAAAGCTTTAAGAGGTTTTTCCTAAAAGGATCCATTTCAAACTTTTAGTGTTTAAACCACGTGGTCTTTACTCGGGCTTGTCACAAACTGTGTCCCCTATATTTTTAATGAGCTCTTGTTACTTAAAAAAAACTCATGCACGTGCAATAAATGTTTTTCCCTTTTTTTTTTAAAGCCAGTTCGGATTCCTTAAAAAATGTAAATTAGTTTCAAACTTTAATACTTCACCTTTGTTTTACGTTCATGTGGAGAAAAGACCATTGTTTTATGTGTGTGTACTTGCACCAATCATGTCTCAGATAAACTGCCAACAGTTATCAAAGACATAATTGTCCTAATTGTTTCTAATTTAGCTATTTGGAAGAGAAACATGTCATAAAAGATTTCAAAAAATGTCCCTACATCTTTGTTTTCAACCAATGAACAGTGTTGCGTCTATGTGTTATCAGAAATGATCCAATATCACCTTTAGCCAAAATTCAGAAATGCTTTAAATCATTTTTCAAACTTTAATTGTCTGAACAAACCATTTTGTACTAAATGCAGCGTCCATTAAAAGCTGCAGTTCTCTTCCTAGCACCAGTTTCAACTGTGCATGTGACTGTTTTTAAATGATTAACGAGCCACGGTTCAGAGGTTGAAAACACTGCTTTAAATATCCGTATTACCAAGATCATGCAGTCAAAATCAATAATTCTAAACTTCTCCGCGTCTATAACTTTAAATAATACTAGTTTCAATAATAGAGCTCCTCTACTTTAAATATACTGCTGTTCTAATCTCCTTGTGTCTCATGCTAAAGCAAGAGTCTAATTAATTTTAACGATTGTCCTGTATTCTTTCATGCAGCTAAATGTAGTGTTATGAACGAATGACCTAGCTAAATGTATAAATATGACTTAAATTCCACATGTCTCTGTGCGTTTGTTTGTCTGTATATATTTACCTTCTGTCTGTCTCATTTAGCCTGGCCACGTCTTCCTCTTATGGCGTCTTTCAGTGTCTTTTGTCTCAAAGTGTCCAATGTCTTTGTCTCAATGTCTTTTTTCTTCTTCTTTCAATCAATCACTTTCTTTCTTCTTCCGACAACTTTTTCTCATGTCTTTCTTCTTCTTTTCAATCACTTTCTTCTTCTTTCAATCTTTTCCTCATAATGTCTTTCTTCTTCTTTCATATCTGGCGCACCCAAATGTGTCGTGTCCTTCTGCTCGGCTCACACACCGTTCCTCTTCCTGCACATAACTTCACCCAGTTTGTGCAAAAGTCTGTGGCCTGTACTTTGCTGCAGATGATGATGATGATGCTGCTGCTGTTGCTGCAGCCGATACTGCTGCAGCTGATGATGATGATGATGCTCGGTTGTGGTTTGTGGCAGGGACGATTTTGGCGATCGGCCAATGAAACAGACAGAAGTTTTCTCAGAAAAAACAGACAAACAAGAAACACAAACAAGTGTGTTAATACAATACAAAACCAATGATTAATTACGAATCTAAGTAAACCTATGAAATAATTAATATTAACATTTTAAACATTAAATTCTGAAAACCAAATCTGCATTCAACTGCTATCCTAAGCCCTATTTTTCCAAAAGTATAATGCTCTCTAAGATCATTCTAACTTTTATATCACCAAAATGTAGGGAAAAAAACTTGTCTAGACGCCTTGGAGATAAAAAATAAAAATAAATAATGCCTCTTTATAATCTAACTCAAAGTTCTGTGATCCTATGACTCCATGTCAGTAACATTATCGTGTGTATAAATGTAATTTTCTACAAATCAAAAAATGTCTTTGGTAATAGTTCTGTCTTCACGAGAGAGAGAGAGAGAGAGAGAGAGAGAGAGCGAGAGAGAGAGACAGAGAGACAGAGAGAGGGAGGGGAGGGGCTGAGTGGCTTCTCGAACAAAGGAACACATGGATGATTGAAATACACCCCCTTTTGCCACATTTTCCTAGTTTTTATCGTGATATGGTTTTTAATCAGTGGTAAAAGTTTTTCACGTCAAACGACACTTTACATTTTATCCTTAAATACGTCAGTAATGGAAAACATTACTATTTGCTTACATGTCTAACAGTCCCAGCAGAATCTTTTTTTTTTTTTTTGATTCTCTGTAACTATTAAACATTACATCAGAATAAGAGAAAAACTCCATAACTGATCATTTCTTCACATGAAACTCGTATACTACAGCCAAGAGGCTCTCTTTTTCCTCATTAATCAGATCATTATTATCAGAATCCACATTTTAAATACTTGGCTTTTCTTCTGTTTAAATTAATTTGTACCCTTTTTTTTCGCCCCCGGGGGATATAGAGGTTTTATTATCCTATCACTTCTGACCCTAATCTGCCCCTATTTCTCTAATTCTATTCCTATTTTTTCACTAAACTCTTGTGCCTCTTTTGCACCTTAAAACGGTGTGCCTCTTTTGCACTTCTAAATCCTGTGGCTCTCTTCCTGTATATTCTTTTTTAGAGAGAGACCAGCATCCCTCAAGGTTCAAAAACGTCGAAAAACCTGACTATTGTTCTATCGCGTCCGATAGAATCGCCCATCACGGCGGTCTGGCCACGCTGCAGTCATGCTGGGCCGAGATCTCTCTCTCTTCTATTTAAAACAATGTGCAGACTTTAGAAATGGTATCTGCTTACCTGTGTTTTGCAGTAGAGAGAGAGCCCCAAGACCCAACAGACCCAGTCTATCTATCTGAGCTCATCTTGCGTCTTCTTTCTGTATCAAATCACGTCTCGGGTCACCAAATGAAGCCAAATACTCCCTTTTGGCTCGCGTGTCCACAATTTGGTACAGAAATCAGACGAAGATATCCAAGTTTAACATCTGCATTTAATTATCTTTACAATCAGATACAGAATATTCAACAAAAAAGTGCTCCTACAACTAATATGTCCCTCTCCTCTTCCCCTGCGCTAACCTTCCCCCCAGAACTCAAACCAACAGTTTTATCAAGACGTCTGATGACGTCACTTGTGGGACTGGTCTGGCCCCTGGTCCTGGTCTGGACCCGGTCTTCCATCTCCACCTGAGCAAACAATGCCCCCCACCACTGGGCGCCTGATTGTGTTGGACTTTTGCCCTCGTCGAGAGTGGGAGAGAGCATTTGTTTATTCTTGGAGTCAATAATTGTCTGGTTTTGTAAGCTGGTCATCTCTCTATGATTCCTGAGTGCATATTCCTGGGGCTTGTCTGATGTGCAGCTATTTTGTGAATATTCGTCATGCAAACAGAAACCATGGTAACAAAAGGTAATCAAGGTATTTCAGACATGTTCTATTTGAAGAGCTTTAAGGCACAGTATATATGCGTTCATGAGAATGAGATGGATGTGAGTTCATTGTAACAATGACCCCAAGACCTTTTCTCACCTAAAAGCCTGAAAAAAAACAAATTCCAAAAATGTTAAGGAAGCATTTTGTGTTAACATATACAGCCCATTCTCAAATTGTGCACAATTAAAAATCTGACAATTGACCTTTGGCTAAGCCCTGCCCCAAGTTACTGTTGCTATGTCAAATAGATTAACGTCTGGGCGCTGATATCAACGTGGCTTATTGCTGCAGTAGTTCATCCGAGTAAAACAGTCCATTGATAATATTGTGAATCCAAGTTATTTATTTCTCTAAGGAACTAATATGTACAACAGTTGTGAGATGTTGATAGTGGACTCAAAGTTCACACCGGGATAAACTGCACTATGGTAGGCTACGGATTTATCCCCGTTTTATATCCTAGGGTTCTGCCGCAAAGTGGCTAAAATTAACCAACACGGTGGCAGTGGTCTCCTTGAAGACTACTACAACAGTGTGTAACATTAATGTTAGGTGTTTGTAGCTTGAACAACAACGTTAAGATCAAGCTGCTAGTCAAAACATATCTTTACAATCCTAACGTACGTGCTAGCTATGCTTGGTTGCTAGCACCTTGGTTCTTCATTAATTAGGTTAGAGAACCGAAATCATAACCTTAACAGGAAGATTTTTGCTTACGACCCAACTGTAAAGTTACATTAGTTAGACAATTGGAGCACACAAAAGTACGTTTGTTGATCCTTGAAGAATTTTAGACGACTGTGCGGACGACACGTTTTCGGAAGGGGAAATAAACACCCTTGTACCACCTCTCTGGGAAACACATCTGTGTTACAAATACCCCAGGCACAATGTTCAACAATATTTAAATAAAACTAGGACGGTAATAGCTTGCTGAAAGCAAAAACAAGAGACGCCTGTGTTAAAGTCAATGGAGAGCTGTCAAAAACTATCCAACTTTTGTGGGAGCCCTTTGTTTGCTGCGCTCTGGGGTGTGGCTTGGCCAAAGGTAAATTCTTAGTAGTAGTCTTGGTCTCACGTGTTTATGGGCTGATCCTTCACTGAGGGTAAGGTTCTGTGGTTCTTTAAGACGGAGGGATTTCCGGGGAGAGTGCATAAACTGCTCTTTTACCAATAAAGCCTTTGACCTGCAATAAAAAACAAACATTAAAATTAAAAAACGCCAACTATAAACGTATATAAAAATGCATAACCAGGAATCATCCAGATTTTGTTCAGAGATCAGTGATGTAAATACCCAGTAGCTGTAAGACCCTAATAAACATTGGATACAGGAAAATGGATTGAAGGAAAAGACAAACCTCTCCAACCCCTTTTTCCCTCTTTTCTACCCTCCAGCAGCTCTACTCACCTCTCTCGTAAGCTCTTATAGGGGTAAGGTTTACTCCTATCCAACCTTCTCACTCAATTCAAATTCATGAAGGGGTCTTGTCAGATGTTTAAGTTTTAGCCAGGACACAATCAACGTGTACCTGATAAATCACTAAACATGGTATGGTGCAGGAAATAATGATGCAATATTCCAGTCAGGAAATAGTGCAGTTTGTGCATCAAGCCTAGTGACAAAACTTGACCTTGTGATGTTAACAGGGGAGGTGCTGGGCAGCACTGAGAAGTTTAAATTATTCAACTTTTCAGCACCTGTAGAAAAGTGAGTGGTTGGCCTACAAGTTGAAGGAAGGACAACAGGGAAGAGAAGGGACCAACCTTTCCCTATCCTAACATTCTCTCTCTCCCTTTACCCCTTACTTGTCAGAAATGACCCCTACTACTAAATAGATTCAGCCCCTACAGCAAAAACAATACATGCTTTCAAATACACTGCTTTAGGGCTTACCTCTTGACATGCGTCTTTGGCTTTACTGATTGCCTCAGATCCTCAGCTGCCTTTTGACAGAGAAATACAATTACCCCATTATTTTTATCAATGGACAACAGTGGCAATTGCTCATCAACTACAAGGGATGCTGAACTTCCCCTTTAAATTTAGTAAAAAAAAAAAAACTGATCAGTCTTGTATTGGATACAGTTCCAATTAACATGTCCACATACTTGCCATATCTTCAAAGACGACAAGAAGGCCTCTTTCTCTTTGATGTTCTCAAGGCGCTGGAGTTTGTAAGCAGACAGTCCACAACATGCATCCTATTGATTACCACACAAAACAAACACAGAAAAACATTGAACAAAAAACTGCTGGTTCATAAGAACAATGAAGTGTCCTCACCTTGTTGTTTGAACGAAAACTGTCGTCCTTGGCATAATGGAGGCTTTTAGATGCCAGGACCCGGCCCACTGTATCCTCTGGCTCCTCTGAACTAAGTGGATTTACTTCCTACAAAGTGACAAAACTACCACCGTTGGCCTTGTGGGAAATTCTCATTCTAAACAACCCATTGGACTCAATCGTGAACTACTGGTGGTCATGTCAATGCATCCTCATGTCCATCCCATTCTCATGAACGCTACAAGTTATTCTATCTGGATAGAAATTAATTACATTTTGCAGAAAGGACAGTAGGCTGAACATCTTACCATGTATTCTTTAACCAGTGTGTCCAGATCTTCATTGAGGTAGATGCTCAGGCATCGAAGCACACAATCACGCCTCACGTTAATGTCTTCATTCTGAAAAGAAAACAAAACATGCTTGTCAGTGTCAAGAGACGCACTAACAGCTCAACCGTACATGCTTATCAGATTAGACAACAACAAAAAACATCCTTTAGACTGTGGGGATTATGTTTACGATTTTTATGTGAATTAAAAGTACCATATATGTTTGACTGATAAGTACATTCCTCAAACATACAAGTCACATTTTCATACTGCCTAAGGTGTTGATTAATATGACTAAAGTATTCCTTCTCTGTTGAAAGTTCTTCACACCCTGACATGAGAACGTAGTGGACTGAGCACCTGCTGTGTCAAACTTGTGGTGTGTTCGATATGTGTGTGTCAAAAGTTGCTTCCAGCTTATGAATGTGCAAGGACAGTCTAGATGTACACAGGTATATCGACCTGTCAAGCTCTGGTGGAAATGTCTCAACCTAAAATGTTTTAATAACTCATACCTGGTAGATAACGAACTGTCACACAATTTGCAAGGCCACATTCACACAGCACCTGTGAATGAAGACAAAGGACAACATATCATTTAGGTTATTTGTAAAATCAGCTGCCTTTCAGCAGAGTTTGTTGTTAAGGTTTAACAGCTTTCATGTTACAAAAAAGACATTCAAAAAGCCAGCTCCTTTTCAAGTTTTTTGAATCATAAATCAATCATTTGTGCTTTTAACTATACTTACTCTAAATGTTTCCAATTTATATTGCAAACAATTTTAACCACACATGAACTGTAAATTAATATGAACTACAATTAAACTGTGATACATTGTTCACTTATACTTACAAACTATGTTGCCACGTGGAGGTGAGCACACGAATGAGACAAATACCCCAAGAGTTAGGTATCTGGGAAAAAAAAAAAATAGAGAAGTGAGAAGAAAATCGGCATCCAACATTCATTTCTGAAATTCAAGCCAGTATTTAAATAAAGTACTCTATCACCTAGCTAACCATCATATTAGAGTCCAGATTCTTGACTCAATTCTTCTTCAGTTCTTTACATTAATTAATTGCAGTTACATAGCTCAGTTTACTATGTGAAAATTGTTTTCATACAAATGACAACCATTACAGAAAATGGTAGCTAACTTGTTAGCTACGATGCTAACGCGCGACGGTACACGCGGCGTGACCAAGATTAAGCTGCTTACAAGAATCACGAACTACGCAGATACAAATACATACATTATATAATATTGATGTGAGATAAACTGCACGATTAGGAGTAACTACACACAGGATATCTCGGATTACTTACCTTCACATGGACGACTGGAAGGGCAACCCACAAGTGCCTGAAGTGCCTGAAGAGTGCCTTAGCGCGAGAATTCAGCGGAAGTGAAAGGCGCTGTTTCCGGTTTCTCCATTTCACTTCACATAACTTCTACGAAAATCAATCACATAAATATTAAATAAAATATTCTTGTTTGTTTTATAACTTTGATTATTTAAATAATGTCAGTATGTATTAACTAATTACATTTAATACATTTCAGAATTGATTAAATTATGTAGATTAAAATTATTTTTAATGCATCCATTTTAAGAATGAGTTTTTAAATAAAATCAAATAGATGTAAATGCATAAAAATGAACTCTGGCATGAATCATTTCTGTGAGTGCAGGTAACGGCTGGGGGACATGGCAATAAGGTTAACAGATGATATTACCCCATTTGGACGATCAAAGTCACCGAAGGAATGAAATTAATTGACGCTCAATATTCAACTTCGAAATCTCAAAAGTTATGTATGTGTACCGATTATATAATCCAAATTTAAGCTTTTCTTTAAACGGGATGCTCTTTGTGAACTGCTCTATTGTTATATTGTTTTTTTGACAAATGTGTTTCTTTTTCACGCAAAACCACGGGTTGAAAAGAATCCATAAGTGAGGCCGGGAGTGACTCTGCTTCATGGTTGGAGGCGATTATGATCCCATGGTTTGACTGCATCCAGTTCCTCCAAAAAGCCTTTCTTTGTCCTTCCTCTGCTTTCCACAGCTCCTGGTTTTGCCAGCATAAAAAGGTGTTCCCTTTTTAAGATGTTTTGCGTTCAACATAGGTCAAACGTTATGCTTTAAATGTCAAAGCATACCATTAAAATAAGGATGGGAGGTGTAGGATAAGGTCTATCAAATCAGTTGTATACATGCAGTAAATAATTCTTGAACTATGTGTTGTAGTTCTTGAAGTCTCCTAAAAGGTTTTTAATAAACTCTATAATCAGTAATTCTCCAATCTAAATGTTGTTTTGGCCAAGTTTCCTTTGAGGAAGAGGTGTGTATTCTGAATGAAGAAAATATAAAGATTGAAAGATTATCTTTATATAAAGACTGAAAATTAAGAAAAGCCAGTTGTGGAAATTATTATGTTTTCTAAAATCCTAAAAGACAGGCCACAATAACGGGCAACAGAAACGAAGAACTAATAGATGTGTGTTTATTTATAGTGGGACAACGCCTCTCCCTCAGAGCAGTCTCATGCTGGGCTTTGTCCTCAGTCTGACTGATGGATAGAACTCATTTACAGGCTGAACACTCCACTCAGGACCAACAGGCTGTGCAAAATCCTAATATCCTAATGAGAGGCCCAGATAAGGCTCCAGTCGCTATGATTCCCTCTGATTATGGCCACAAACTGCCGTCACTCCTAATGGATAGTGTTACCAAGCTCCACTCGTCTAACAAGCGTCCTTCCCCGCAGCCTTCCGTAGATTGAGATGTAATTGAATGGGTTTAGGGGAGGCAGAGGACTCACTGTTGAAGAGAATTTCCCATGGCTCCTTTCAACTCCAACGACCTTCCAGCTAATTGTTATGCATTTTTGCTGTCTAGCTCCCCACAAGTTTTTATTTTAATTGAATAAACATTTCAGCAGTTTTTGTAGGATCCACAACAGGCCATTAACTTTGCGCCCATAGTTTGTCTTCTTTTCACGCTTATGGGGCGTTCAGACCGGATCATGCGTTGCGGCGACTTTCAATGCAAAGTCAATGATGACGTGCGTTAGAGCCTGGAGCTGCATGTGCGTCTCGGGATGCATGCACGGACTGCACGGTAGAGACGCTCGGACTGCACGGTAGAGACGCTCGGACTGCACGGTAGAGACGCTCGGACTGCGCGGTAGAGACGCTCGGACTGCGCGGTAGAGACGCTCGGACGGCGCGGTAGAGACGCTCGGACGGCGCGGTAGAGACGCTCGGACGGCGCGGTAGAGACGCTCGGACGGCGCGGTAGAGACGCTCGGACGGCACGGTAGAGACGCTCGGACTGCGCGGTAGAGACGCTCGGACTGCGCGGTAGAGACGCTCGGACTGCGCGGTAGAGACGCTCGGACTGCGCGGTAGAGACGCTCGGACTGCGCGGTAGAGACGCTCGGACTGCGCGGTAGAGACGCTCGGACTGCGCGGTAAAGGCGCGGCAGAGGCGCAGGAGCGGAAAATCGACGCACGCAGGAGATAAACATTGCGGAACTTTTTTCTCGTGACGCACGTGCAGCAACCAATCAGAGTACCACAAAGTGGTCACGGGGACATTAGCGGTTGGGGAGCAGATTGAAACTACTCGTAAACAGCCAAAACAGGAGCTAAACCAGGACTAAACCATGGGGGACACGATGCTTGTGAACATATGCCTCCAGCCTCCAGTGACTGCAAACTAGTGCAGCTATAGCGTGTTCACTGATGCGGAAGTACCTTTTAATAATAAAATAAACTTATGGCGCACCTAACCCTAACCCTGAACACATACTGCTGTTATATAAAGTCTCTGGAAGGACATGGACATGGAGACGCTGCAGAGCTGCATTAGTGGAGAACTTTACACAAAAAGCCGCTAGCGTAACTCCGTTAGCACCGAAGCCCGCCCGTCACTTCCGCCACTTCCGGCGGCCGCCACTGCAGGCCAGGACTTCTGTTCTGAAAACCCCTAGCGTCTGAAATTTAGAGAATGTGCGTCTAGTGCGCGTGGAATCTGCGTTCTGGCATTGGTGGTCTGAACGCCTCATTAGTCTATTGTAGTAGACTAATGTAGTTATTTGTAGTTAACCAAAAAAATGGAGTAGAAGTTCGGTGTCAAATCTGCTAATTTACTGAGACTGTCCAATATTAAAACTGAAGTAACTGCCAGTTTTCTCCACAGAAAATATTTTCTGAATACTTCCAAATGTTTTTGAAATCTAACCACTTTGCAGTCTTCTAATTGTACAACAAACTGATTGCAAACTTGTTAAAAAAGGCTTGTCTGTAACCATAACATTTTGAGGAGCACGCTAATTGGCCCAGTTTCATCTGCAATCCATGATAGTGAGTACAATGTCATGTACTGTGTGGCAAAACACAGAGTGCCAGAGAGGTAGGAGAAACTTGAAGAAACCAGGGTTGAATAGTGGTCTGTTCAATGATATGATGTAGACACTTTGTTATTAGGCAAGGCAAGTTTATTTGTATAGCACAATTCATACACAAGGCAACTCAAAGTGCTGAACAAAACAAGAAAGCATTAAAATCATAAATAATCACAGAACATTAAAAAGAAAGATAAAAATATAAAATCCCTCAGTTGTAGCACAGCTAAACAGAACTGTCTTTAACCTGGTTTTAAACATTGTCAGAGAGGAGGCCTGTCTCATTGTTTAAAGGTGCCATATTTCGCTGTTCTTAATCTGTCTGTTCTTGGCCTTAAATAATCTTTTTTGGCTTAATTTGATATACCACCCACTAGCTGACGTTCTGATCTGCTATTGAGCCGTAATATCAAAAAGTGTCTTTTAATCTTTGCATCTGCATTTTTACAGCCGGACCAACACGGCATGGCTGAAATTGGTTGTAGTAGTAATATATATATTTTTTCCAAACATGTAGTTCATACAAAATAAAACAAAACTATCACGATGCAGCCATACAATTTGAAAAGGTGTTGGACGAAGACAACTCAAACACTCCCTGACCATACACCTCCCTACTATCACTTGCTTTATACTGAGGGCATCACTCTTTTTATGAGGTTTTTAAACCCTTTGTTTCATGTTTCCGGCCATGGTTGGACTCTGCTTATGTCTGTCTATATAGAAAGTCTCTAAAATGTAATAACATTATGAAATGATTGGCCAGTGGCAAGTCATGAGGGTTGGCAGCTTGTTTAGTAAACACATCCGCGACCATCTTCAGAAGGGTTCAACCTCCACCGCCCCGCACTTGGCTCCTGTAACAGAAGCATTTCACTTTGATTGTGCCTGGCTTTATTACTTAATTATACTCTGGGGCCGCTCTCTAGTGTGGCATAACGGTTACCCAAACACGGCCGACTTCTTTGTATTTGTTCTTATTACAGCGCAAACACAGAGGTGAGTGGCGCTTGCGGGCGAGACGGTGGCGTGGGCGTGGAAGTTCATTAATTTTCCGAAAGCAAGAAAGCTTGCGGATCCAGAGGCAGTGGGTTTGATGCGCGGAGCGAGGGAAGTTGAACACCTGCTCTGAACGCTCACCTCTGCGGCAGGAGGAGAGCGGGTCGCTATGGTTACGCACACACACACGGTACGCCTCATGTGAGATAATGGAGCTTAACAATGACTAATCCACAGACTGTAGGAAAGTAAACTGTCTGGCAAAGTGCGGCGGTATGAACTTATTGTGACTTTGTGCAGAGATGCAGAAGAGTCAGTGGCGAGTACAGCTTTCTCATCCGGCCAGAGATTTTATTGTTTTGGGTATATTTTGAAGAGTAAATGAATGATATTAAAGGTGATGGTTGTGTGAAACCATATATTTTCAATCAATCTTTCGATTTCAAATGATCATGAACATTTAGCCCCTCTAGGGCAGCCATTCCCAAACTCAGTAACACCGAGGCCCCCTTAAAAATCTGACGGGTCTGCGTGGCCCCCCAAAATAATAACCAAGAAGACAACATTAAGAATAGGCTCTTCTGGTTATTTTATTTTGGGGAAAATACAAACATTGTAATACAAAAATGATTACAGTGGATTATTCAAGTCAAATAATGAACACAAATATTTTTATATTACAAACAAAACATTATAAATTTAACATTAAATAATTATATTATTTTTTTATTTTTTTTATGACCTCCCGCGGCCCCCCTGCAGTACCCTCGCGGCCCACCAGGGGGCCGCGGACCCCACTTTGGGAGACACTGCTCTAGGGTTATTTTAAACATCTAGTTCATGAAAGCCGGCCCCGGAATTTACAAGAACTGGAGGTTTTTTGCCAAGAATGGGCAGCTTGGCATCAGAGAGGATAAAGAACCTCATCCGCAACTACCACAAAAGACTCCAAGCTGTCATTTATGTTTAAGGGCAAAAATCAGGGGTGCACATAACTTTTTCAGTGAGGTACTCAGATGAGTACCAGGAGATGGTGTTTGGTGCTCACTCCATTTGTCGTGTGGTTCTTAATCAAAATGTTATACTTGCTTCTTTTTAATGCTAAAGTTTAGATCAGCTCAGATAATCCACTTAATCCAAGTCAAATTATGACTCATAGGGCGCTTTCTTAAAAATGCAAAACAAAACAACAATCAAAACTTTTACTTTTGGCACAACCAACATTATTAATGAAAGGGAAAATTAAGGTACCACAGCTTTAATTTAGGACACTCCCTTAAGGCTCCGCAGTCCAGCTCTGTTTCTTGCAGTAACGCAATATGTATTTATTTATTTTGCGTTACACAGACTAGAGCTGAAACAACTAATCGATTTAATCAATTAAAATTGATTATTAAAATAGTTGTCGACTAAATTAGTTGACAACTATTTTAATAATCGATTAGTTGCTAAATAACTTATTTTGCCGTAAGCGGCTCATTTCGTGCATATTTTAACTCTGCGGTGACCAAATGGTGGCAGTAATGAGCCACCGGAGGTTTTACAGCAGAATTAGCGAATAGCCAATAGCTGGCCTCCTTTTATGTCACATGCTTCGCGCACAGCTTCTCTTCAGCATACAGCAAGATGGCGGAGGCAAGCGGCAGTGGAGCTCGAGAAAGAAAAGGAAAAAAGCAGAAGACAAACCTAATCGAACGAAGTCATCCAAAGTGTGGGAGCACTTTACTTTGAACCTTCAAAAAAGAAGAGTAACCTGTAAACTCTGCGCTACTGACTTGGCCTGGCACGGGAGTACTACGTCTCTGCATGAGCACCTTAAACCATCTCTCTGCAGTACTGACTGTTTGCAAAAGATGGCGCCACACTCACTGTTTTAGGCATAAAGTTGATCTTTCAACTAATTTGCACAAAGATGTAAAAAAAAAACAAAAAAACCTTTATCCAGTTTATCAACTTAAATAAGCCTTGTTCGGGATTTTAAACTACTTCAGAAGCCCTAAGGATTTTCATGGTGAAAACATTATTGGAAATCTCCTTGTGAAATTTGCTAGAGTATGTAACGGTCAGTGTTTTGTTTTGATGGTCGACATTGAGTTCAACAAAGGATTACAAAGACATAATAAACAGCTCCAGATATGTTTTTGATGTGGATATGAATATGTAAAATGGTTAAAATCTCTAAAAAGTCTATGTTGAATGATGAAGGCCCTTTGTTAACAATTTACTTGGAAAAAAATTGGCAAAACTAAAATATAAGTACATATATATATATATATATATATATATATATACATAAACCGATTAATCGATTAGTCGTAAAAATAATCGCCTGATTAATCGATTATCAAAATAATCGTTAGTTGCAGCCCTAACAAAGACACACACTTGCTTCAAGCAGAGAATGTACCCGCGCGGGGTACATTATGACCATATTCGGCTACGAGATCACCGCGTTGTTGTCAAGGAGACACTGTCATTACAAATCAGCCGGAGTGGCTCTGGAGTCAGAACGCTGCTGCCACGGAGGATTTAGAATCCTGTTCGAGTACGTACAGCACCTCTCTGGCATCGCACCACGCCCCCCTAGGGAGGAGCGCGCCACTATTTGAGAAGGACTGGTCCGAGTGAAGTACGCAAAGGCGCTTATTAACTCAGGTGATAGTATGAATTTCTGATATTTGTCGCGCGTGTGTACCTGCGTACTACTTATGTGCACCCCTGGCAATAAACACTATTGAGAACTGGGAAATGGAGACTTCTAATCAACAAAGGAGTTTTCTGCTGTTTCTATATTTTGAAAACGGAAAGCATGTTTAATATGAGAATATGTAAAAAATCTCAGAAATAGCAACATTTATGCCTGGTAAATGCCTAAGTATTTAGTTGTATAGCACGTTTCACTGACCAAGGTTTGCCCAAATCGTTGTCCATTGTTATGTAGGGTCCATTCACTCCACATGGTGATGACCGAAGTGAGACGCCAAACACTTGCCACGTGCCATGGACCAACCTTAGTCATATTTTACTCACATATTTTTAGAGGTAGGGGTGACTATCGCAGCCAGTGGAAACCTACAAGACATGGGAAAACATGCAAACTTGACACAGTCATACGGGTGGGAGATTTGGTTTATTCTTGGATCTGAATCATTCAAATTTTATTCGTGAAGCCACGGTTGCAACACCATTTGCACATAAAGTAACAGATTCTACTGCCCAGCAGATGTGACCTGTTAAAGGAAACAAAACATGCAAAAACAGATTTTTATAGCTTTTGCCTTTTACTTATTTACTGAAGTCTTTTGAGTGTGATTGATGTGTTTATTTCTGGATCTGTGATACACAGAACACTTGTTTCAGGCAAGGTCGCACAGGCAGGGCCTTTCTGTGTGGAGTGCATGTTGAGAACATGTCCACTGAGGTTTCCTCCGGGTGCTCTGGTTTCACCTTCCACTAAAAACATACTATGTTCAGGGTGAATGAGTGTGCGAGTGCAACTGGAGCAACAGATGCAAATTGGCCCAAGGCTACTATCCCCTGTAGCTATTGCGCTACACATTGTCCCAACCAAGTTAAATACATTCAAAAAGAGTATATTATTGGACACAGAAGAAAATCCAAGGCACTCTTGACAGAAAATAAAAATCCTTTACTGAACAGGGATTTAGGCAACACGTATCAGCCATGAAGGGCCTTCTTCGGGGCATGGGAACCATCCATCACATTCTGTCAAGTGTGCCTCCGCTTTCTACTTTTCTGTTATGTTTCCTGTGTTTTTTCACTGGTGAGCCTGATGAGCACCTGACAAAGATTGACTCATTCTTTTTGAGTCGTTCTGCTCTCATTCTAAACACATGCTCGAGGACTTTTCTAACAATTAAGGTAGCAATTATTTCCTCTACCCCTTTTCATTCAAATGTCTCCATGGCAACACAAACATGTTTAAGTCCATAAGCATCCTCTGCGTTCCACCACCACAGCTGCAAGCGCACACGCCTGTCTACGCATGTTAGCCCTGTGACCTCACATCACACCACTTCTCCCGTTCCTCTGCACATTTATATTTTAGTTTTGTCCTGGCTTAATTAATTGGGCCGCTCTGGTTGGCGCTGCGGCAGGTGACAGCGAGCTTATTGAGTAAGAATTGTGCGCCTCGTTGAGTGATGAAATGGGGCCGGTGAGGCGGCGATGGCTGCGCACAGGGCTCCTCAGCTGGTCCAGTTTGGGGATAAGGTAGTCACATAAATTAGACATAAGCTATTCTAAGATTTTGGCTTTGTTCGCTTTGTGTGTGTAAATGACAAGGGAAAACAAGTATGTTACAATTCATGCATGTTTGTGTTAGTTATATCCTCATATTCAAGCAGCCGGCATTGCTCTCCTCTCAGTCCTCTGACTGCTGACACCTCTCCCTTTCCGTCGGTTTTACTTACTGTTCTCTTCTGAATCAGTAATATGTGGATAATTTATATTTGCTGGAAGGAAAAAAATATAGTTGCAAAATATAATCTTATAGTTTATGTTTCACTGCATCCAAGGGGCGGGGTCAGGGGCAGAAGGTGACCTGAGAAGGGGTTGGGTTGACTATTTTGGCTCTATCTAAACATTTAATTTGAACCATAGATTTAATAAAGGCAGACAGACAGCTCTGACTGCACAGTGCACTGTGCAGTCAGAGCTGCACAGTGCACCAGACCCTCACTGATCCTCCTGCAGGTGCTGAGTCCACAGGAGCCTTGATCTTTCAGTGGGGGCTTCAGGCAAAGTGGGGTTAAGTGTCTTGCACAAGGACACAAGGACAGCAGTCATCAGAGGGAGTCGTGAAGTGTGTCTTGTGGTGGGCTCGTACCCACGACCTTCTGGCCCAAAGGCCGATGCTCTACGTTTGCGTGAATAATTCAAAGTGAGGAATATGTGAGAGCAATGAGCTTGTACTGCTGCAAAATGTTAAACATGTTTTGGTTATTTTAAAATCTGGCATCTTTTACAGTTGATCTCGGCCAGGGAGGAAGTATTTTGGTTTTGCTCTGGGCCTAAATAATTCTGTGCATGTGCAGAGACACGCATCCTCTGGATAGCTTTGTGCCTGCGCTCTATTACCTAAGATTAAGTTACACTTTTCAGCACCAGTGTGGCCCAGGGCAGCTGTGGCTACAGTAGTAATCACCATTCTGTATGGAGTAAAAGAATATTGACGTGTG